CTAACCTCAACCAATCCACGAAATCGCGCGACCATCTTCCATTGTACTGAGATAGATACCTGTTTCTACCCGACACGGATTAGCACAGATGTGTCACAAAAATTTCTATAATCCATGCTTGAGGCTTATGACTGAAGATCGTTTTAAGTTTTGATAAAATACAAAAAAATATTGAAGATACAAGATTTCGTTTGTAGATTCTTCAGTTTGAAATTAGTTGAATAAAGATATATTGAAGAAAGTCATTCAAATTGTAACAGTAGTAGAGCCTCTTGGTCACTACTGAAAGTTATATGATAGTTGTTTTATACTGCTTTGTACAAAAGTTTACATTGGGACAAAACATTTAACGTAATACAGCTTTAATTTTTTTTACAAATCAGTCAAGTGCTGTGATAAAAACGTGATTGAAGAGTAGAAGGGTACTATGGTCATAATTTATTATTGTTATATTAATATAACTAAGTGATATTGAATAGTGGATTGTGTATTTCCCTAAATACTGTTTATCTGTTTATCTTCTCACCTTGTGTTCTTCTTTCTTCTTCTTCAAAGGTTCAACAACTGTATTCATCAAAGTCTCGCTTAATCACTTATTTTGTATTATTTAATCATACACTGCTTAGCATACACTTATTCATATACAGTACTGTCCTTTAACCCAATCTTAAAAATGTTTTTTGTAAAATGAAAAATCTTTACAAAAAATAGTGATGAGTAATTAAGCCTAAAAAATAACTAAGTGTATACGAACAGGACTGTTGTGTCGACAACAATAACAAACAATAAAGATTGAAATAAACAGATATGGTCAAATAAATTGAATTATATATACATATATATGGGGAAAAATGATGGTTTGTTTTTTATTTTTGTCATCGCTGATGAATCTTTTGTTACTTTGTTAGTTGATTGTCTATTCTTATTAGTAGTTATTTATTTTCAGATTTCAGTACTGCATCAGCTGATTTCGGTATATAATTGTGTAATCAACGAGTAATAATGACCTCTTACTTGCATATGAATCATCACAATTAAATATTGGGAATTAGGAAAAAAGCGCATTTGTTACTGTTCTGAAACATATTTTATTAGTTAAATGTATTCCATTATCTATTAACTTTACCTCGCCTAGTACACATGTACGTTTAAAAATGTAATTGGCCATCACATACCTTACCTTACGAATATAACGGAAAATTATAAATAACATCTTACTGAAGAGGTCAATCGATGTCTGTTTTTTTTTATTTGACAAAGGTATTGAGAAAACTGTTACTTTCTAGAAAGATTTCCTTTGTAAATCTTTGACCTCTTTAATTTTTTTTCAAATTTGGTAAATAAGTGTCTTCCGTTCTTGGTTGATGAATTCTCAATGATTCAGAAAAAAACGTTCCTTTAAAAAATAAAATTATATAAAGAACCATTTAAGGCTAAGAACAAACAGACGACTGTTTTTATTCTAGTTTTATAGTCACCTAAACAAGTCGAACAGCTGGTCTACAATAACACGCAACAGGAACTTTAAACCTTGCAATAAATGTGATACTAATAACATATTTATTTGAACTCCGATTTTTTAAATGTCAGTCATATTACTATGTAGCCTATTTTTGAAATAATATCAATAATGATAACAGTTCATGGGAATTTCATTTGATTAGCTTCTTTACAAATTATTAAATAGAATTTAGCGTTATGAACGCATGTAAAATGTGCAATACATAGTGTATTAATTGTTTTATATATTTTTAAACCTTATGGTAAAATGTAATGAACTAGGTATTTTAAAAGCCATTGTATATGAGAGAGAAGCAGTAGACATAGAATAAGTTTACAGTCCTGATAAAAAATATATATGCATGGATATTGATTTAAAACGCAATACGGTTAGTGTTAAGCTCTTAAATTACATATAAGGGTCATTTCAAAAGCTATTTAAAGTTATATAAATCATGTTACTTGCCCTTTATTTCAACTTCCCGGCTCATGACACCTGGATTTACTCTGCTTATCTTAGTGATGATAAAATTCTCTCTGATACGTCTACTTGTTTAGAACCATGTAGTAAATTTCCATAGTCAATCATCGTATCAAAATTCTAACAGAAATACGATTTGCTTATTGGCCTATAATTTAATACACATATGTATTACTGTAAATGAAAATTTATTAACAGTTTGTTATGTGAGTTAATTTGAATGCACAAATTAAACAGGCTTCTTTTGATGATAAGTTTGTCTAGCCATATTCTGCTATGAAATTCAGTTGTTCGAAAAGTTATAAGCAAAGATCATTTAAAATCATGCTACTATATTTCATGATGAATATTTGATGCGAAGAGGTTACCAGAAGGCTTTTGATTAGTGGTTAACAGGATATAATACGTACTGTTTTATTCTTTGGACTAATGATCACTTAGCGCATTTGATCAATGAGGATGTGTTCAACACTGAAAACTAGATAATCCAATTATGGTTATCGATAAAAGGACTTGATTTATTTTAGTAGACGTTTAGTCATTTTATAGTTGACTCGGTAGTAAGGTCACTGCTCGTGTTCACTAATTAGGAAACCTTTTTATCCATTAGTTTACTCAGGAATATTGATTAGTGCTCATTTTTTTATATTCGCTTGCTCACCTAAAGGAAAACCGTAGTTTGGCTTAAATTTTGTGACTGTTGATTTCTGTGATTAGCTTAAGCCTGTCACAAAGTACGAGTATTGTTTCTACTTACCCATTACAGTTATTACCAAATTACTCAATCCCGCAAATAAAATAACTAAGATAACTTTTTCCCCAACTTAGCGCTGTATTATATACCGCCTACGTGAATAATTACTGTTCATGTCTTCAGATTTAACACCGATGATAACATTTATTTAGATATGTTTTGCTTTTTTGACATCCAGCAATTGATGAATTAAACTACATGAAAACTAAAAATAGATGTTTGTCAACTGACAGTCGTTAATAATGAAGCCATATACTTTAAAGTAGTAGTAGTACCATAGAAAAATATATGGTCACTGTTCTTAAAAGTCCCATAGAACTGCTGCATCGAAATGAGTTGAAAGCGAAATTCAGTACTATTCGATCAACCGTAAGAACTGTAGTTTCGAATAAACAAATGTTTCAGGAAAGAATTGCTTATACAATTCCGATATAGATATCATGATAAATTATAGAGAACTAGAGGATTCTATCATGATGTACACATTTTGGATGAACAAAAATGTCATTCCTTGAAACAAATTATCCGGTGATTCAACTGTCATAAATAAAAAAAGAAGATTACTGTTCTTTTGATATGCTGGTTGCATTCACCTATTCGTGTTCTAGAAATTATCAACAAATCTTTCGAAACCATTCCTGCGAGGTAAAAAAAAATACAATAAATATTCAAGTATATTTATCAGTCTTTGTTATTTGATAACATTATAAAGTACACAGGGTATCATGGCAAATTTAAATGCATTTGTAATATGTCTATCGTTTAAGAAAAATTACACTGTTATCGGTGTGAGTGTTTAACACATTAAACCTCTTTACAAATCGTTACGCTTGTACATCTTAAAACCAATGAGAGTTAGATAACAAAGGGAACTGATGAAAACCGTTTATCTATCTCAATTTTAGAGCAACATGAATGGATACATTTTGCATGAGCATAGTTCATGATAACTAAATACAAATATACAAATAAATTTTTGTTCGGTAGTTTACCTCGATAAAATGGGATTTCACTATGAGATCTAATGAAGAACAGCAACTTCTGTTTGGATTAAAAGTAACTTGGGATGGTATTCATGTCTCGTTAATTTGTGGTTATTCGTTTTTCACCTTAAACTATAGCTAAGTCATAATGATGAATTTTAGCCTCTATAAGATAAAATAATATTCAGTTATTGATGGAACCGATTTTTTGCTAATAGTAATGTAAAAGATTGTTTTCTGTATTGCTAACACCCATTATGTAAGGTAAAAATAAATCTTAAAGTTCTATTAAAGCGCTTGTAATTTCCGGTATTGCTCGAATTTTATTTTAACAATATCGACGAGATGATAATTTATGAACGAATCAATCTGATTAAGGGTAACAGGTCTCGGAATTTGACTTGAAATTCATTCATCCATTTGTTTAAATAGTGTTTTGACATTTTGGCTGGTGTCACTTCGTGATGGGAACCATAAATCTAATTCTCAACCCTAACCATCAATTGTAAAACATAATCAGCGAGACTACAATTTATGGACGGCCTTTGAACAAATCCTAAATCACCCTGGGAATCAGAAAACAGTAAATATAGAGTAAATATATATTATCCAAAACCGAAGAATTGAGTGGATACACTTCAAAGTTTCTCCCTACTCCCCCAAACGACTCATCTAAGCTCGTCATTTTTACTGCACATATATCTCTATAATACTTTTACCACTGAATAGCCGAAGCTTCAGTAAATGTTGCAACCAGTGTTACTGGTGCTTTCATTATCCATTTAGCAACAATTACCACAATTCGCTATAGCCTCAATCTATATCGAGCAACAAAAGTTCCTATTCTAGCAGACTTCTTCCCCCAATATACATTACATCAAAAAACAACATCAACATGTTAGTCTGCACAAGGTCCACAGGTGATTTAAATAACACAAGTAAAGGAACTTCTTAGTAATTCCACTTGTTCTAGCCGCTCAGTTATAATGTCTTTTCTAAAATCCGTTCTGAACCGATCGTACATGAGCATCAGATACTGAAATTGGTGCCGTGACCTTGAAATCCTTCAAACGCTTCTGACTGGCTCGTCCATAAATTATAGTTCCACAATCATAGTCCTTATTCTTCATACTGCTATATAACCCTCATTTAGCCCTAGTAAGCAGGTGGACATTCTCAAGGTCACTAAGGCATCGCTCAAAGACCGTCCATAAATTATAGACTTATCACGATATCTTATACAATATTGATTTTCACTGCCTCTTTTTTCATTGAAATTTAGACTATTTATCTCAACATTGTCATGATATACCAGGATTGACAATAAAACGATTATATTTCGAATTAACTGGAGCTGTAATCTATTCTCATCCAAATTATGCTCAACTATATGAAAATATTCATAAAAATATACGTCATTCAAAATCAAAATCAAACTTATTTAAACAAAACAATAAAACTAATATTAATAATCATAAAAAATCGATTAAATTACCAAATAAATTTGTAACAGTTAATGAAACTAATTTTCCACAATCGTATACTTCTCATAAACATCGAAAAAACCATCTAAATTCAACAGTAATAACGACAACAACAACAATGACAACAAAGGTGTTAAAACAATCAACTGAAACTGTAACAAATCGTAATCAATTAGAGAACAACCTTGATCATAAGTATCCAGTTAATTTTAGTTGTGAAATTTATGTTCATTCACGTGTTAATTCACGTATTATGATAAGATTTCAATCATTCTATATACCATCACAACAGCATTTATTATGTGATGAAAACTATCTATATTTATTTGATTCAAATACACCACAGTATCGTGCTATGGTTAGTTTGTTCTAGGATAATTCATTATAATTATTAATGATTTATATTTGTGGGTATTTATGTATATCGTTGATATGCTGTTTGTATAGTTTAATTTCAACAGGTTATAAGATTTGAATATTCATACAGAAATATCATTATTTATTGGGATCTAGTTGAATTAAAATGACATTCAATGGATAAAACGTGTCCGAAATTAACATCCATTATCCAATACATTCAAAACATATTAAATTTCAATTAACACATCAAAATTATGTAATAAAATTCATTTTACATTTAAGTGCTGACGATTATTTTTTTGTAAAAAGCGCTTAATTTTTTGTTTTGTTTCAGGAAGTAACATTTTCAATATTGAATAATTCGTGATGCATGATGGAAATATAGTTATAATAATTTTACACTTATCCTTTTTAACTTTATAAAGCCGATCAATAAATGACAAGCATAGAGATTATCACCTAGTTTTATGGTTACTGATTAAGCGTTTGTTTCATACATTACACGGAACTAATTTTACAAGCTCAGCATAGTTTTATACACAACATTAAAATACCTATGGAAAAAAGTGCTTTGATGAAATTATATATTTATATAATTTTCCTATTGAAAACTCAGTAATTCCCTGAATCGTAGTGTTGACTATTATGGTAAAATTTGAACTGAGTGTGATCACTTTAAAAAAACTAGAGAGATTATCATTGGAAAGCTTAGTGTTTGATTAGCTTTATATATTAGCTATTAGATGAATAGTTCTTAAGAAGAAATCAAAGTTCTAATGCATAATAAATGTTTTTCTTGTTTTTTAATTCTTGAAGTCGTTAAAATAAGATTTGCTAAGTATTCGTGTAGCACTATTTACATACGTCAGAAAAAGGGGGTATTTTTTTAGTGGCATAAATATCATTACAAACCACGAAGGTTATCAGAATGTCACGTATAGAACGTTGATACAAGTCTCTCTAACGAACTGTAGATATTAATGTTCGTGCAACTAATGTATTAAATAACTATATAATCAATTCAGTGGACCATGGGTATTAAATTTTTTAACGTACAAATAGTTTCAGTTTTATAGTGAATGTTTAACGTTACCCCTTTATAAAGTTTGAAAATAACAAACTCTATACTTCACCTTCTATATTATAGGAGATATTGTAGGATGAAACAGTCAGTATTGTTTACCCTTGATAAGCTCTAAAGGTAACTTTGTGCATTCAGATTATTTATATGATAAGGAAGAATCAATCAACTGGTGACTTGTGCAATACCTAAAGTTTCAATCCATAAATATAGGAAACATTACTAATTTTCTGTTATAGATTTCACGAAATGTGATGGTATTTTAGTTGCTAATGGCAGATAATGGCATGAAGAGAAATAATGGGTACTATTTTATCAACCAAATTGTTAAAAAACATATTTTCACGTAAATCATTTATCAATTTTAGCTGGAATGTAATTTAAAATAAAACAAGGTTAAAATTATTATAGACCATTTTCGTTATGAATTTATTTCAACCAGACAATCAAACCTTGCTTAAATTAATTTGGTTTGAGCAACCGGATAGTAGTATAACTAATCCTCACAACTAAAGTGAGGATTATACCTAAATATATGGCTAATGAATTGATTATATAAAATTACATATCGTTTCTCTTCTTAAGAATAAAACTTTATTTTTATTTCTGGTAATTATTGAGAATTTAAAAAATCACTACACATAATAGGTAAAAGTACAAGTTGATAGTACAGAGATCATGGTCTATGAAGCATTTTTTATATCGGTTTGATTGAGTGATGAAAAGATTTCGAGGAAAATAATCAAGTGTATCCCTGTTTTAATATCTATCTTTATAAATAAAACAATCATTTGGAAAATTTGAAAAAAATGAACTAATTTTCCCAAATATTTGTTATCCTCTGCTTTTTTTTTCTTTTCAATTTGGGAATATTTTTACTTTTTTGGTTGAAATTTAATGATTTTAATGATCTTTTATTTTAGGCAGAAGCCGGTGGTGAAAGAGGTCTTTGTCAGCATCATTTTCCTACACAACCAATTTTCACAACAAAATCATTTGTTACAATTGTATTCAGGTAAGTATTATGATTTTACAAATTAAATTTGTCGATCGTCATTATAATAACTATATAAATACTTAATTCACTAATTTACTGTCATAAATACAATTCTTCAAACGAAGTTTTGACAGTTTGTTTTGTGAAGCCTAATTAAGCATGGCTTATTACTGATAAATTTTATTGAGATACAGACATCAGGGAGATAAATCACTTTATTTTAGTGAATGAAATTTACAAATAAGAATAAGTTAGATTAATAATCTAGTCTTGTCAGTTGATAGATTTGTGCTTATTAGTTAACTGAAAATAGTGCCTAGTAATATTTTATTAAAGTATATAAAACCAAATTTCAACGCTTGAAAAACGTTTGATCATATTATTGAGTGACAAATTTGAGTCAGGTTCACAAGTATACAATTTAAGAATACACCACGAAAAGAATTATGAGATTTGACAACAGTAATTTATAACCAATATTGAAGAATGTGGCAAAAAAGCATTCTAATATGTTCACTGAAACATTCGACCGCTCCTATGAATCAAACATTAGCTCACTTCATTAATACCAAGTTAAGTCAAAAGATGAATTATAAAAACTGGGAACTTTAAAGATATATGTACCTATAAATTTACATCAATATTAATTTCGTAGAAGATAAGACAGAAAGTGGCATATAAATTTTAACAATTGAGTTGAATTTTCAAAAATCTGGTTTAAATTTATGATCTATGGACTAGATTAAAAAGTGAGTAACAACAAAAACATCGGAATCAAAAAACTGAATTGTGGTCTGCCTGCATTTTTAAATAATTACGTTCAACGATGTTGGATTGTTAAATTCTTTATCAGTACTTGGATAGTATTTCGAAGTAACCCACAGCAACTTTATCTAACGCTAAGTGAAGGCGAAAGTGTTAACTTTTACAGAAAACATATATTATTTACAGAATTCTATCTTTCCATAAGCTGTTATCTGTTGGCAACTAGAGATTTCCTGACACCTTATAGATTTTGAATTTTCCTGAATAATTTGACATCACGTTTGCTGAAGAATATAGTTCTTGACTAATTGAAATAGCCGTTTGTTTTCAATGTACTGAAACCAAATTCTTCACACCGACTGATACTAGTCATAAAAGTTATGTTATAGCTGTGCTATACTTATGTAAATTCACCTCTCAGTGCACTACAAAAGACTACCATACTTTTCAGTTAATTAATATCTTTAAATTAATAAATCCTCGTCATTTAACTTCCCGAAGATCGTTTTTATAAGATATGACTGAGTCTACGTTTGAAATGAGATTATTGGTCATCATAATTCAACCACAGAGTCATAAATATTTGTGCGTTTAAAGATTTTTAATATCATTAGAAGGAAACCGTATTTTTATTTCGAAATCGTCATATACAATATTAGTTTCTGACTAATAAATAGCAGTGAGAACAAAGACAAATGTTTCATCTTACTTGAGACTCATCAGCTGATAAGCATCATCGAAAAGTGTTATAAAAGCATGATTACAAGCAATATCGAGACACCAGTTTAAAAAACTCGTATGTCAACAGTATCTAATGAGATTTACTTCTGAACGTCCCCAACCGTATTGTACACACCCCTAAAAATAATAAAATATGTTGTTAGTAATGATTACTACTGTAATTTAAGTTGGTTGGATAACCATTGAGAAGCAGCAGTAATGAATAGCTATCGCACGATATCCCAAGTATATTGCAAGTATAGGGAGAGGTACTGTTATTCACATCACTGAGTAACTCGAGCTAGGTAATCACCAAAATGAACAGAATCCCATACATCTGTTCAATCAGAAGCTGTAACCAGTGAAATTCAACGGTGTTGAAATAAGACAGGTATCACTAGTGAAAATGGATCATAATTCAGTAATGTTTCAAAATGACGTGTTTAAAATGTGAACCATTATATACAGATTAAGCGGTCTGAAAGCCTATACACTTAAAGAACCAGACATGAAGGTTCAAAGTCCCTTCCTAGGAAGAGCTATAGATGCTCGTCACTGAATTTACAGGATAACAGGATAAAGCATACTTCCACTACCTAAGGATCTTAGCGATTTTTCTGTCCGTTAGATAAACTAAAAAAGATTTTCACTTGCATTCTATAAAAGCATACCACCATTTTTGTAGTAAAATAAATCAGTCATTTTTAAATATTGTTTCAGCCAATAGACAACTATGCATTATTCTTTGCATCTCGAGAGAAAAAAACAAAGAAACGTTAACACCAATACTGTCAGTCATTTTTAATAAGTTTTCATTGAGACAGGAAAACAATATATGAAAAAATAAATTTGCTTGTAGTCAACATGTTAAAATGATAGAACTATGTGAAATCAGCAGTGATTCATAATGAATTAATGACTAGGGTTAGAAAAAGTCTGTTAGCCATATAATATTGAAATTATTTTTATCAAGCTTTTACATGAAAACCATTTATTTGTTATATTCTATAGAATAAAGATTATGAAGTATGAGACAAAGCAGAATAGTTGGACGTAATTAGGCGTGAAGTATGAAATTAACTTTGTGTGTATCTGAATGTATTCACAGCAATGTTGATTCATTTATTTATTGTAACTGGTTATCAAATAATGATATCTTATCAGTAAACACTGAAATATAATCATAGTTATTACTTGGTTATTATCGAGTAAAGAATTATTCAACAGGATACTGTTCAAAAGGGTTTGTTGATTTTATAGATTGACTAAAGAACTTTAAAAAGTAATAAGGCATTCAAATCTTTGAATCAGAGATCACTCATTCAAATCCTTATCGCACATTGCTTCGCTTTTAAGTTCTGCCCTATAATATAACTGAAGCCTTATAAATAATTTCATATTTGTCAGAAGAGGTTTTGTGGAGATTTTAGTAATTTCAATAGTTGAAATCAAGTCAAACGAAGATAGACCACCATGGAAAACCTGGGAGCACTGGACGGCCGTTTCGTTCTATTGTGGAATTCTTCAACAGTGCGCATCCACGGTCCTGCCCCCTCGAGATTCGAACCCAGGACCTATCAGTCCCCACAAAACCCCTTTCTGATAATAATATTCTCACTAGTGACTGACTTTAAGAGGCATTCCCTGGAGTTCTAGTGAGAAGCCGTGACCAGTGGAGTTCAACCAGGTCTGTTGTGAAATATCAGCTCACTGATGACAATGGTGTACGGTGGCGCAATTTGGTGAATTGGTTGAAGTTGGACATTAACACCGAGGGATGCCAGCTCAGTGGTCTAATGGTTAGGCGCTCGCGAGCGAGACTGATAGGTTCTGGGTTCGAATCTCGAAGATGCAGGATCGTGGATGTGTGCTGCTGAGGAGTCCCATACTAGGACGAAACGGCCGTCCAGTGCTTCCAAGTTTTCCATGGTGGTCTATCTTCAACTGACTCATGATTTCAACTATTGAAATTCATATTTAGTAGGAAAAAATGTTAATTTGTTTAGTCTTGGTATTTTTCCGTGAAGTGATCAGCTATTTCATAAAATGCTTTTCATGCACTTAACATTATCTACTCAATTTAATCAAAACTTTATTACGACAAATATCTGTACTAATTCTAATAACTAAATCGACTGTTTACTCTTTCTCTTTTTTTTCGTTTAGCTAAAAAGTCACCTCCTTTTAAAAAGGGAAATGTTTCTCATACTAATGAACATTGGTTTAATTGACTTGGTATTGATGTAAATACTTTTTTTGAGAATTATTGAAAGCAGTTTATGTTTAGTTTGCAAAGGTGCTATTATGTATGTAATCTGACAATGGATTATCAATTTGGTTGATAATGAATGTCTATTTATCTCTATCCATTTTATACTAACAGTTGTATCTAGAAATGAAATGTTTTTTGTTTCGATTATTTTATGTACTAGAGTTGTTTCTGAGTAACTCAATGGGAATTTTTAAGCTAGGCAGATAATAATCTCTAAGCTTTTATTGATTGTAGGGCGGCCTGCTTGAGCATCTGGGATATCTGTTCCTGCCATCTAGATATTTCAACAAGTTATCTACTTTTCTTTGTTTTAATATATCATTATGTTTATTAATCGCATAACCTATTCTGCTGCGTTTCTGAAAGATGTACAACCTTTCGTTGTCAAAGTTACAAAAAACTCAATAAGAGACAATGTGGTTGCTGGCAATATACAACGAAAAGAATACACATTATTCAGATGTTCATTTACTGAACTGCTAACATCTAACTGGCGATCACTGAATATTTATCGCCAGGACCGACCAAAAAGAAAGAAACGGAAACTTGTTGAAATACTTTGCGCTGAGAATTCTATATTGTACCAAAAATATAATATTGAATAAAGCTGATAATAATAATAATGTTATACCGTTGATCATAATTGCAAATAAGTGGATTGCATTTATTAACAAGTTTTAATGAGAATATAACTCACATCTAGAAGTTTTCTAATGGTCTACATAGGAAAGTATAAATAAATTGCATTGACTCTAACGTTTTTATTAAAAACTTCAATATAACTTAGTTAAAATAGGTTTTTTTATCAATACTTCCATATTTGGTTCAACTTGTCAATTGAAGTATGTTCAATAGTTCATCATTACTATTCGTACTACCAAGCAAAATGAATAATTAGAGACAACTTTAAAGTAGTCTGTCATCAGAAAGTGGTGATAAGTACAAACAATACTGATAAATAGTAACTTGACGACTGAAATGAAAGACAATAAGACACATTTTTTGCAACCACAAGTAAGTCTAGTAGGGTTTTGCCTTACTTATTGTACAGATAGAATTTAAATTGGCTTAATGTACACCAAGTTTTTGAACTATACATGAATTAGTGATTGAAGTATCTAAGTAAATATGGGGGGGGAATAAGAGAAAATCAGAGAAATTTTCTTGAAATCTGTTTTGTTTGACATTTACTAAGGTTTTTTTAAATATCAAATGATATTACTATGTGTTCTTCCCTACACTGATTATTTACTTCAGTTAAAAAGTCATATCAATTTATATTAGATGACATATAACATTGATGACAATTGTTGATAGACCATGAAAAAGTTTGATAATCATTATCTTATAATTTAAAAAAAGTAGTTTGAAAAAGAAAATCACCACTGTGACTTGGGTTTATATCCTTTTGTGAGTAAACAGATATGTCAAGTTAGTATATAACGTTAAATAAATGAGAACACGTGAAAATAAGAATGATATTCATATATTTTATTTTATATAATCAAGATTTCTTGTCTAAATCCTGTTTATAAATGACATTTGACACTAATTTATATTTAAAGCAATTTTATTGGTTGAAAATGAAATGATTCGGAAGTTTCATAGAGAATACCGATTTAGATTTGTTTTTCAGAGGAATAATCAAAATCGAAATTATCAGAGATCTAAAATAAGTCTGTACTTGACGCTTCTTTAATCATCTTGAAATGTTCTTTTATCCATAGCAAGGATGTTAGTTATTTTGATTAATATATTTTATTCGATTAGTTGGACCAGATATCTGAGTGAAACGTTGGAATTATATTTCAGTCGCTAAAATTATTTCTAATTTAATTTTACATTTAATGGTTTCTGTATAATAACCTCTGATTTCCTATCCAGTTTTGTCTGATTTCCGGCGAGTGTTTATTTAAACGAATATAATATGTCGAACAATCAGAATAACAATATGATTGAACTAATGTTTGTCAGATAGTTGCTGGAGATTCATCCAATGTGAGGACTGAGTCCCACATGGATATCCGAGGATCAAGGGAACAGTAATGACTGATGATGCTCAATTGTCATGCGGCTAAGATAGATACTGTTGATGTTATCTTGTGACGAGTGTTATATATTGTGAGTTTTCTGAAGTTGGAAATACAAGGAATTGAAACTAGATTCAGTACTGTAAATAAGTCATGCTCATAAAGAGAGCCGAACTTTCACAATCTGACTTTACGTACAGTCATCTGTATGTCCTGTTGTGAGGTCTCAAATCAGAACGATTTACCAGTTCAATACTTCATGGTTTTCACTGGTTCACTAGCTATTGCCATTTACTGAAGAAAAGTCACCTTATAGCACAATCAACGTGAAAGATTTGATCCAAGAAATGAATTGTAGAAAAAAATATATACTATGGCTTTTTTTTACAGTTTTCTCATAGTAATACGTAAGAAAACTCTATCACTATTATTTTTTTCGGCGGTGAATACCTCACCATTTCTTGAATTCTGTTTCGTTCAGTCAAGAACGTTTGTTCCATTTAAATAGCTTTCAGTAAAATGTTTATTTTAAACTTCTCTAGTTAATCAATTGTAGTAAGACAGACTGTTGAAAAATCATTTCAATTTATAATACATGATACAGAAGACTTGAAATTTATAAATTCTGAAATGTGGTGGTAAATCCGATTATTGTGTAAATCTACTTTCATACTGTAAACTAGTGAACGGTGTTAAAATAATTTATTCCTGTGTAACTATATTAATGGAACATAAATATGAGGATATAGTTTATCCACTCAAAACTAGAATGAATTTCTTAAAGCTTTTCTGTACTATAATATATATGCTATGTATAACATAATATGTTTTTCAGATAATGAAAAATCGTTATAATAGTGTTTGAATGAGAACACCAATGGGGGACAATCGAGTGTATTTGAACACAACAGTACAGTACATCTCAGTAAAATCTGAGAACCATACAGTAAATACTTAATTTGCAAAATATAAGTCAGCCGTCTCAGACTTCATTGTTCCTACATTTTTATACCAATTGCTTTCTGTTCCCGTTCTTTCCTTCCCGACCTGCTGCCAGACATTCTAATTCTGACTATCGTTATATACTACTCATGTCGATATAAGTAGCACACACCACAATACTCCTTTATTCAGTCAGAACAGAAATCAATTACTCGAACTATCATTAGGTATAATTAATTGTTTTATATCACACTGAATCCGGAATAGTTATATAAAGATTAGTAAACAGAGTTTGTAATTAAGTCTGTGCCCTCTTATGTCCGTTAGATATGATCATTGATCATATACAAACTTGGAAAATTTTAATTATCCGATCTCAAATATCTTCCAAGTTGTAGACAACGATTAGTGTATTTAAAAAAACTAAAAATTTTGATTTTATATCGATGAGAATAATGTGTGGTAACTTTTGGGAACCATTTATGGATAAATACTATGCGTATGTTTTTATCGTATAATTGTTAAATACCTAAACTATTCATATACCTGTTCCTTTTATTGTTAGCTTTATTTTGACCTGCGAACCATTATTACACGATTTACCATTCTTGAGTTATGCCCAGTCAATCAACCACTATCTCTCACATTCACGGACACTTTCCCCTAAATCTTGTACAAATGTTGTTTCTTATTTTATGGTACAATGTGATCTGTTTGGTTGGTATATAAACCCAGTACGTTTGAAGTAAATGGTTCATTTCTCAGAGGCTGAGATTGGTGTTCTGGATTTAACAGACAGGACTAGGTGGGAAGCAGGACCAGTAAGGACTCTAGGGTGTTCGTACTTGTTTTATGCGTCATTGGTTTGGTCGATAATTCACTATTCCCTAATTAGCAGTATCATCACGTTATGCATTAATAGGACAAAGGGCACAAGTTATATCAGTTAAATTACAAATGAAGTAGCACAATTAAACTACGACAGTTCACTGAAAAGTATATTTTGCATGTTTTGTTGTGTAACTAACTATTACAACTTTTAAATAAAAGTTTTAGATCCAGTCCCTTGATATAATGGCTTGACTTTTATTATGATAAAATAATTATGTCGAATTTAAATACTTTGAACATATTCTAAATAAAGTTCATCACAGTAAGAGTTCTTTCGCGAACTATAAAATGTAAAACTAAGGTTTATTTCCCTTTTTATGCGTTTTAATAATATTAACTTAATCTATGGTTTTATGCCACTGTTATAAGGGATGAGAACAATGCTAGTAACTGAAATTCACCAGTGCAATGATAGCGAAAACTTGTATCTTAGTGGAATGATTTTTGAAGTGAACGGTTTTGCGTAATGAACAGTTTATTCACGAAGCTTTTCTTTTCACTTCACGATACGCCCCTAAAACCTCATATTATATACATTTTTCCGTAATAAATGCAATAAGCAAAAGACAGCTCGTCATAGTTATTGGGTGGTGATCATTATTTCTACCCACTGACCAGTTTATTACCTGTAATACTTCAAACAATTATATCGTCTTCTTGTCTGATAAATATCGAACATTATTTCACAATAGTAAGCCGCGTCTCAATAATTCACCAAGTTCCAAACTATCTAACAAAGGGAGTATTATAACACTTACTCTACATTTCTAAAGCCTATTAATTCTGACCAATAGAATTTAACGTGTGTATTTTAGGAAAGTATGTTCAGCCCCTCTATTTACCTTTATAATTTTATTGAATTTATTATAACTTATCTCCTTATAGCGAGTTTTTTGCATTTCAGTTTGATTGACAGGACTCAACTAGCACTAAATGTTAGACAAACGTGATATTTGTTGTTGCTCAGTGACTAATCAATCTATATATTGTTATCGCGACTGACATCTATTATGTATGAATCAATGGACCTAAGAATATATTTATACAGCATTGTACTGATAAAAATATTGAAATATGTCAGTTAAACAAATAGTCAAATGAATATTGAATAGATTATTTTATTGTACAATCAGAAATGATGAATTTTTAATCCATACCAATGAGTAAGCAAGGAACAATAGAATGTTTCCGACAGTGAAGTTACCAGCTTCTTCAAAGAAAAATAGACTGAAAAATGATTGATGAACTTCAATAAACCAAAACAAACTAATGGATAATGATTGATACATCATCCAGATGGTGATTAAAATCGTTAGTTTATGCAACTGCATTTAGCTAGTATTGTTCTAATTAGAAGTAAGACAATATCGAAATTTCGAAGAGTAATTAGACAACAGTTTTATGTCATTCGGAAGCACTTAAAAAACTCTAGATCTTGAAACTTTAGTAAACAACGTTTTTTATACTCAACATTAGATAACATTGAGAATCGATGACGTTAAGATGACTGCAATAAAGAAAATGTTACTGCATTCTGCTTCATAATTATTCAGGTTTCAAATGACATAAACCCGCTATTAGATTATTATTTAACTAGATTAATATTTCGTATTCGTTATTTGTAGACTGACGTGGATTATTATTTGAAGATTTGCATAATTTGTGTGCTGTTTTCGTTACAGATAGTAAACAGCTGAAGAATTAACCGAAATCATAAGTTCTTAAAGAGCTTGTTTTGTCTATTTACAAGAGTTTGTATTTATGATTTTACTTTATCAGTTTCCCCCAAATGGCTTTATTCACACTGAATAAGTCAATAACTATCTGGATTCGGTAGCTTAGTAGAAAACGCATTAGTGTTTGAAACAAAATGTACTTTCTTGGTATCTCAATGGGGACAGCAATACTAGGATATATCAACATCCAGTTGACGAGTACTAAATAATGCGAAATCCGGAGCCTTGATTTAATTGCTGACCAGAGTCAAATTTTACTGTAACCTATTTTATTCTGATTGAAGTTTCATATCATGAGCTAACTTCGGTTCTAGTTTGAAACGGACTGGTATTCAGGATCAAGGATCATGAACATAAATGAGCTGAAGACCATTGATTGTCATATAAAATGAAAAGTGGAAATTGCTGAGATCTATACTGTTAGAACAATATGATCATTTTATTGTATTTTATCTTTATAATGGTTCTCAAGCTACGTGTAAAGATACATAAAATCATTTTCATAAATCATGAGACTTTTTTGTCTAGTGAAATATTATGGTTATTCATATTTTCTTTTTTTTAATTTTTGCAGATCAACAACATTCTCATCATCTTCATCAATGGATATGGAACCTGGCTTCAAATTAATACTTACAGCAATAACTGATGGTAATTTATTAAATTCATGAGATGAGTGTTGGCTTATATTCTAGTTGGCTACATGTATATAACTGAATAGCTATGGATTTAACATAATAATTTTTACATTTTTTCCACATATATCCTCATTAGATGTATACCTGTGAAAATAGTAAATAAAATAGTAGACGATCCATAGAGATGTAGGGAAATTG